ATATTAATATATTTTTATTGATTTCAGAGAAGAAGGGAGAGGGAGAGAGAGATAGAAACATCAATGATGAAAGAGAATCATTGATTGGCTGCCTCCTGCATGCCCCCTACTGTGGAGTCCACAACCTGGGCATGTGCCCTGACCAGGAATTGAACCCTGACCTCCTGGTTCATAGGTTGATGTTCAACCACTGAGCCACACCAGCAGGGCGCTTACTACTTCTTCTAAAATCACTTTTCTGCCCTCCTCCCTGAAAAACTGCGGCTCTTAGAGGGACAGTCAGACTATGTACTCCTCTCTGATTGACACCTGTTACCTTTCCTGCTGCCTTGCTTTAATATCTTGTAGAAGCCAGATTGCAGAAGAACAAGTTAGCCCAGAAGCCACTAACACTTCCTCTCTTCGCTGTGTCTCACCTCTCAGGTCCTCTCTCTTTTTACCCAGATTGGATTCCCTGGTCAATTTCTCCAACTATTACTGTATACCCTCCACTCCTTTGGTCCCCTCTCTCTGTCTTCTCATATCTCCTAGGCAAAAATATACAAAGATTAAACCCAACTTTCTGCTTGCTCTGTGCCTTCACCCGGGCAGCTAAAATTTCCTGGAGAGAAATACACAATGGGGCCTGGCAAGTGGTACTTACATCAAGCTGCCTAATTAACATTTCCACTTGAATATCTAATAGGAATTTCAAACCTAACATGCTCATAAGAGAACTATTGATACCCCCTTGTCCTAATCCCATCTTCCTCGTCTCAGTTAATAGCACTACCATTAGTCCTGGTTACTCAAGCAAAAAGTCTAGGGATCAACTTTGTCTTTTTCTTCTTTCACCCCTTGGTTCATACTATGAGCAAATCCTGATGGATCATCTTGTACGTGACTCTGAATTGGTCTCCCTACTTCTGTTTTGCCCCCTTACCTTCTCCCTGTTTTTCACTTTTTGTGAATATACTGTATAGTATAATGAACGCTCCATGAACTCACCACCTAGTTTCCATAATCATCACTCATTGCCTCCATTATTTAAAACTTAGATGGATTATGCTTTTCCACTAATTAAAACTCTCTTAGTGGCTTCCCATAATGCTTAGAATTAAATCACAAATTCTTTCCATGGTTTTCAAGGCCCTACATGATCTAACTCTTGCTCTCTTCCTATTCTTCCCTTTCCTCATTATGTTTCAGTCATAATATTCTCTTTTTTGGGGTACAGAAGAGGAAGCTAAAGTTCAGGGAGGGCAGGTAACCTTGACAAGCTCACGCAGGTAGCCTAATATCCAGGTTCTCTGAGTCTAGACCCCACTGTATCACATTGCTTGCTTGTATTTCTACTTTGGAGGTTGTGTGATAAAATGGAAAACAAAAACTTTGAAGTCATAGAGAGCTGGCTGCAAAATGTGGATTGTCCTTTACTTCCTGAGCCTCAGTTTCCCCATATCTAGTATGGGGTTAAATAATACATTACTCATACTCATCTTGTGAAGTTTGAAGATAATATATTCAATGCACCTAGTCAATTAAAGCTTAGTAACTGGTCCCTACCCTGTCTCTCCTACACACACATACCCTATGAGATTCAGGAGAGAAAGATATAAATAAATAGTACTGTGAATATTATGTTATGTCCCCTAAAATATTTATGTTATTTATTTATTTATTTCTATTTTGAATTTTTATTTATAAATCTTGTTAAATTATCCTTTTAGTTTTTATTTATTTATTTATTTATTTATTTATTCATTGTTCCTACAGAGATTTGTGTGGAGAGAAGCAAACCATAGGTGCATTACTCACTAAATATTCTCGATCTTCGATGCAAAATGGTGTTAAAGTTTATAACTCAAGAAGACCCATTTCTTAAAAGAACAACAGTCTTTTCTTTGCAACTAAAGTTCCTTTATAAAGTTGCTGGTTATTATAAGAAAAATATGCTTTTATGCATTTGTATTTCAGACTTTTAAAAACCTTGTACTACGAGGCATTTTTCTTTTCATCTTAAGCATTTTGAAACTACTGCTCTTCTTTTTTCTTAAATGTAATAGGATATTCCTGTCTTTCAAGTTATGTTTGTATTAGGTACACAGTATAAACAAGGACAGAAGAAAGTGTTATTTCTTATGTTTAGTATATCTCTATAGTTCATTTGGTTTTATTTATTGAAAATATTTGCTTTTTAAATATTTAATATTGTATTTCTTTCATTAGGATTTGACATTGTAATCATTAATAAATTTAAATTTTTTTTAGAGAACTAAATAGCCAAGAGAATTATTTATGCACTTAAATGCCACTTCTCAAGCAAGTGGGTTCCCATCTAGTTTCAACCTCCCACCAAAACAGGAAGTCACTACATGCTATCAGTTATCTACATTACTCATTTTCATTGATGAAATTGACTTGATAATTGCTCCTCCATTTGTCTGGCTGAAATGGGATGAAATGACTTTGATCCTCAATTCGATGTGAAGGATAATAATACAGCAGTTTATAATCCTGTGGTAGGCAGGTAGACAGATATGAGCAGAGCAAGGATGATAGGCCAAGGACAGAAGATCACCCAGGTTCCTAGCAATGGACAGTTATAGGGTAGGAACTTGTCCCCAAGGTGATTTTTCCTCCCCTAGCATATCACTGATCATGTAGTTTAGACCCCCTGACCTTTCCTCCCTAGAGATAACATCTAGGCCTCAGTTGTATTTCAACTCCAGGCCCAGAAAAGCAGCAAAACTACACAATAGAGGCTACCTCAGGACCAGTTGCATTGAATAATGACCCCCTGCCCTGGCTTAGACCAATCATTGGAGACCCCTACCCAGAAAGGACACACCTGGGAAACTGCTGAATATTCTATTGAGATCTTCCTTGGGGCCTCCACCCTTAAAGTCCTCAGGACAGAGGACCCAGCTCCCTCTCCCCTCCTGGAGAATGGGCGTCTTCCCTTTCCCCCTCCCCTCCGGTGCATCACCTTTACCTTCCACACTTCTAAGCTCCAAGGGCCCATCCTTTGCTTCTATAACTTGTTTCCTAAGTCCATTTCTTTTACAAATTACTTCTACCTCTGTGATTTTCTAAATAAATGTTCTCTTATAGTTTGAGTCTTGACTCTGAATTCTTTCCTAGCCAGAACTCAAGTCTGGAGGTTGCTGAACCCAGGTCTGGTCTGACCCCATTGGTCTAACACCTAGGCAGGGGTGGGCAAACTTTTTGACTCGAGGGCCACAATGGGTTCTTAAACTGGACCGGAGGGCCGGAACAAAAGCATGGATGGAGTGTTCGTGTGAACTAATATAAATTCAAAGTAAACATCATTACATAAAAGGGTACAGTCTTTTTTTTTTTTTTTTTAGTTTTATTCATTTCAAACGGGCCGTAGCTTGCCCACGGCTGATAGTGTCTTCTCACCTCTGCCAACAATCCTATAACGGAGAAACTGACACAGGCAATACTCACTAGACAACTACAATATCTTGTTGGTTTTGGAATGCTTGATAAATTTTTTTTATAGCTTTACTTTCCTAATTTGCTTTCGTTTAGACCTGTGGTCGGTAAACTGCGGCTCGCGAGCCACATGCGGCTCTTTGGCCCCTTGAGTGTGGCTCTTCCTAAGCCTTAGGAGTACCCTAATTAAGTTAATAACAATGTACCTACCTATATAGTTTAAGTTTAAAAAATTTGGCTCTCAAAAGAAATTTCAATTGTTGTACTGTTGATATTTGGCTCTGTTGACTAATGAGTTTGCCGACCACTGGTTTAGACCAAACTTCAAATTCATCCTAACTAATGAACTTATCACGGGGACAGTTGGAGGGGTTAGGCCAAAGTTAAGTCTGGTCCAAGGTTAAAAATAATATTAATGGGTATTTCACAACCAAGATTTAACTGTTGTTGAAATTTACAAAGTTTTTATTCTCAGGCACATGAAATGTAGATGCGATGCTTCAAAAGCATCTTTCCTGTCTTTCAACAAGTTTTTCTGCATCTGTGTGGATCTTTTGTTCTATTTTTTAAAATACGGAGTCACCAGTGCCTAGTGAGGGTTCTGGAGTTTGAGTCAAAGTATCACGGGTCGAATTACATATTTTATAACAACTTAAATCTCCAGGGGCCCAGTGAGTTGATGGTGTCTGTTCACACAGCAAACCAGAGGCACAGCCCTCCTGGTTTCAGTGACTCCCCAGTTCCTAGTCCCCGGGCCCTGGCTCATCTCAAACCTGCCCCCGCCCCACTTCTCAATGCGCATGCGCCAGACCTTCGCTCCGCTAACATTTAAATGCCCCTTCTTTTCCTTCCTGCTCTTCTCAACTCACTCTACAACTATTTGCGTTCGCTTTCTTAAACTTGAGCAGCTCTCATTCACTGCATAGACACTGAATGGCAAATACGGAATCCGCCAGTATCGCGCAAGCCCCGCCCACTCACCAACACTTCCGGCGCCGTCGCACTTCCGCTGACGTCGGAGGTCACAGGTGACAGGCAGGATGTCGAGTGGCGGTGGTGTACAGCGGTGGCTGAGAGCAGCATCTCCATGACCCGAGCTTGGCGAGGGCGGCTGAAGGGATCCTACGTTGGAGAGCGAGTTGGAG